ACGGTCACAGGGGTTTAGGGCCCCTCTCTTAGGCCTCTGGGCTCTGAACTGCTTTGAGAGAACATCCTTTCTGAGTCATAGACACATTTGCCAAAACCTAACTGTTGAAAGGAATGGTCACTCATAACCTTCCTATTCCTGCAAGGTCCTCGGAACATGGATGCTGAGATGGTGTCTTCTCCATATTTTCATGTCCAGACTTCCTGTTAAGGCTGGAGGTGAGAAGTAGAAGGACCACTTTCTATGGCTTCCTCCCCAGCCCCTTTGGATGGATCTTCATACACTCTGGTGCCCTTTCTTCTCTGTGAGGTTTGACTTGACACTGAGTTGACAGTCCGAGGACCTGGGTTTAGTCCTATCTCTGCCTCTTTCTTTCTAACTGCATAACTTTTGACAACACTAAAGAAACTCCATTTTGTTATTTACTATGAGGTTGATTATGTTTATGTTTCCACAGTCACATGTCTGTGTAGGGATTATGTTAATTTATGTAGGTGATAGGAAAGATTAGGACATCCAATTCCTTTAACAAATAATTATTGAATGCTAGGCACTACTTCAGACACCAAAGAAACAGCAGGAACAAAACAGGCACATGTGGTATTGCTGAATTGTACCAAATTCCTCTCCATTGAGGCTGTCTCATTTTGCATTCCCACCAGAAGGTGTGAAAATGCTTGCTTCTCCCCGGCCTCATCATCATCTCTTCTCAAACTTGCAAATTTTTGTCAAGCTGATAGTGAGAATCATATCTCAGTATACTTTTGGTTTATGCTTCTGGTATTACAAACAACTTTAGCATCTTTTCATATATTTAAGCATCATTTGTATATTTTGTGAACTATCTGTTTATATCTTTTGCCTATTCTTATTTTGTGTGTTTGTGCCTTCTTACCCCACCTTTTTCACTCTTTTCAAAATTAGGTTGGTTTTTCTACACGTTGATTCCTTAAAAAAAAAAAAAAAAAAAAAAGGCGGGGGTTATTTATTCATTTACTTACTTATTTACTTGTTGACTGCTTTTCTGTTTTAGTCGTTAACTTATACTTTTATTAATTTTTATGGGGAATTCATGTAGCTGTGTTCTACAGATCCTTATATGTCTAGTTTAATTATCGTTTTCCAAAAATTCTACAATTTCATTTTATATTCAGTTCCTTTTATTCAAGAGTTTTAAAACAATGTGTGTGTGTGTTTACATATATGTTGTTAATCTCCAAAGACAACAACAACAACACAGGTTTGGCAAAAGCCATCACTATTACATGTTCCTTTAAGAATGCTATTTGTGACCAGGGACAATGGTTCATGCCTGTAATCCCAGCACTTTGGGAAGCTCAGGAAGGTGGATCACTTGAGCTCAGGAGTTTGAGACCAGCCTGGGAAACATGGCAAAAACCCCCCTCTACAAAAAATACAAATTAGCCCGGTGTGGTGGCAAGAGCCTGTAATCCCAGCTACTCGAGAGGCTGAGGCAGGAGAATTACTTGAACCTGGGAGCTGGAGGCAGCAGTGAGCTGAGATCATGCCACTGCACTCCAGCCTGGGTGACAGAGTGAGACCCTGTCTCAAAAAGAAAAGAAAGAGAGAGAGAGAGAGAGAAGAAGAGAGAGAGCAAGAGAGAGGCAGAAAGAGAGAGAGAGAAAGAAAGAAAGAGAGAAAGGAAGGAAGGAAGAGAGAGAGAGAAAGGAAGGAAGAAAAGAAAGAAAAGAAAAAGCAATAAATAAATTACTATTACTATTATTATTATTATTATTATTGAGACAGGGTCTCCGTCTGTCATCTAGGCTGGAATGCAATGGCACAATCTCAGCTCACTGCAACCTCTGCCTCCTGGGATCAAGTGATCGTCCTTCCTTAGCCTCCTGAGTATCTGGGACTACAGGCATGTGCCACCATGCCCAGCTAATTTTTGTATTTTTCTTTTTGTTGAAATGGGATCTCATTATGTTGCCCAGGCTGGTCTTGAACTCCTGAGCTCAAACAATCTGTCTGCCTCAGCCTCCCAAAGTGCTGGGATTACAGGCGTGAGCCACAACACCTGGGCCTATTTCTAGTTTTGAGTAATGCGTTGAAGTTTTCTTTGTGACCTGATATTGAATATTTCACGTGTAGAAGGTATAGTTTTTTCTTGTTAGGTTAATACATTGCTGGACTGTACGTCTGTAGAGTTCTTTGTATTTTATTGAATGCACTGTTTCTTCTCTACACTTACTGTCTTGAGCTGAGAGAAATGATTAAAGTGCCCTGTTATTACTATGTTATTTTCTTTAAGTTTTTCCTTGTATCTCTTATAGTTTCTGCATCATCAGAGTTGTGCTACATTATTGAATGCATAGATATTAAAAACCATTACATCTTCATTGTGAAATTATAGCATTTGGCGTTTTAAAGCATCCTTCTTAGTCTTATTTAATGCTTTTTGATCTAATCTGGGATCAACATTATGACTCCTGATTTCTAAATTTTGTTTTAACCTGCATTTTCCTGATATATATTAACTCAACCACCTCGTTTACAAATTGTTTTCTGACTCTCTTTGATTTGCATACCTCCTGTAAGGACCATAGACTTGTATAGAGCTAATAATGCAACTTGTTCGTCTGGTAGTGAGTTAAGCTCTTGACATTATTATTATAAATATGTTTGACCTCAGTCTATCACACTCTTTTATGTCCTATTTATGAAAATATATATCTTTTACATAAATAACATCATCCACTCTGTTGTCTGTGTTATTTGCTTTTTTCTAGAATGCCTTTTGGTGTTGAGGAAGGTTCGTATTTGTGTTGTCATCTTATAGTATATCTTTATGTAATATGTATTTTGTATTCCCCCTTTGCTTTAATAAATGGCATATTCACCTCCTACTCTAAGTAATAATGAAATTTTCTGGAAATTTTCACTTTACCTTCCTTCTTCTTTCCTCAGTATTTAATGTGAAGTGATATCCTTTTACTCCCAGTTTTTCCTTGTAAGCATATGCTTATATTAAGACAATCAGGGAGCTCATTCTACTTTCTGTATGCTTTCTCTTTCACCCTTCATTTTTTTGTTAGCTGTATTGTATTTAAATTTTCAGTACATATAACATGGAATGCTATTCTGTCACCTTTATCCATATTATGTAGTCTTAGTTCTACGGTGAAATATATTTAAATGTGCATCATCAGATTGTATGCCAAACAGTTCTATGATTCAGGGTTTAGTGTGTATGTATGTGTGCTGATTCTCTAGTAGATTCCCAGAACAGGCTTATGGGAGCAATATTCCCTGAGTCTTTGCATTTTCTTTGCTGTTTTTCTTTGGCCTTTGTACTTACAAGCCAATGTGAATCGATATAAAATCAACTTGTCCTCAGAAGAACAACCTTGCCTTTCACACATTTACCCTTTACTACTCTGGCTCCAGCTCTAGATTTTTGTTTGGTATATTAGTTTTCTATCACTCCTGTAACAGTTTACCATAAACTTAATGCCTTAAAATGACAAAAATTTTATTGTCTTACAGCCCTGAAGGTCAGGAGTCTAAAATCGAGGTGGCAGAAGAGCTATGTTACTTTTGAAGGCTCTAGAAGAAAATGTCTTGCCTTTTCCAGATTCTATTCTCCACATATTCTTTGGCTCATAGCACATGGCCACAGCCACTGGTTTCATCACCACACTTCCTTTTATTGACTTTGATCCTCTTATCTCACTCTCGTAAGGAACCTTGTGATTATATTGGACTCACCCAGATAATCCAGAATAACCCCATCCTGTCCCATCTCAAGATTTCTAACTAAATCACATCTGTGAAGTCCCATTTTGCTATATAAGGTGACATATTCACAGGTTTCCGAGATTAGGTCGTGGACGTCTTTGGAGGTTGTTATTTAGCCTACATTTTGTTTTTGTTTGGCTGTTGTTTATTCCACATTTTGTTTTTTCCTTAGCGATTTCCCTTACCTCCTGTAAACCAATAACGCAGTGGAAAAAATGCTTTACGCAGGATCTAGTTATTTTGTCTTGGGAAATCTTTCAGAGTATCTAGTCTTCTCTACTGACAAAAGCACAAGACCCCCAGTAAATTTCTAAACAATATTAATTGGCTCCAAACTTTAGAACCAGCATCTGTAGGGTTAGGTTCATACATCTTTTTTTTTTTGAGATGGAGTCTTGCTCTGTTGCCCAGGCTGGAGTGCAGTGGTACGATCTCGGCTCACTACAACCTCCACCTCTCGGGTTCAGGAGATTCTCCTGCCTCAGCCTCCTGAGTAGCTAGGACTATAAGCACCCACCACCACGCTTGGCTAATTTTTGTATTTTTAGTAGAGACAGGGTTTCACCATGTTGGCCAGGCTGGTCTTGAACTTCTGGCCTCAGGTGATCCGCCCACCTTGGTCTCCCAAAGTGCTGGGATTACAGGTGTGAGCCACTGTGCCTGGCCCTATAAATCTTTATTTTAAAAACTGTTCTTCTGGTCACTCTTATAATAAACCAGAATGGATAGTCTCTACCCCATGACATGGTTTATATCTGGTGGGTGAGACATCATGAGAGGTCAGAGCTGACAATGATGGGGAGGTAGGAAGGGAAGCACAAAATTCTGGCCCCTGGCTTAGTACCTGGTAACACGAGCCTTCTCGCTCTTTCCCTTCACAGTCACTGGGAACCTTCTTCCATTTCTTGGTAATCTTACATCAGCTTTCCTGTGTGACCTTACAGGTAAATAGAGGTTTAACACTATAGAATTAGAGGTAGTGAAAGACCAAGAAGAATTTTGCCTATCTAATACTAATTGTCCTTTCAGGGCCATCATAAAGAAAGCACCTTTTCTATGAAACCTTAGCTGGTCCATCTCTGCCAAGTATTAAATATGATATATAGCAGGAGTCTCATATAATATCTTCTCAACTAGTTGCTCTTCAAAGGTAGGGACTATGTCCAGTTCATCATCTCATAACTCTACAGCCCTTGGCCTGTAATGTCAACAGAAGGTGATTGAATGAGACACAGAGGCCAGTTGCATAAGGTTTTATTGATGCATTAGGGTAGATTGGGAAATAGACAGATGTCAGAGATAAAAATAGTCCTGAAACCCCCACAAGATGAGGACAATTCAGTACAAAGGGGTGACTTGCTCTGCGTCTTCCTGCTCCTGAGAGGGTCTGCACTGCAAAGCAGGTAAGAGAGGAGTTTAGGATAGAAAGCTCCTTGCAGGAATGATCTCATTGAGAAAGACCTAAAAGGGAAGCTGCATAATAAAGAGTTGATGTCCAGGGATGCGCCCACTGGGCTGGCCATGCAGGACAAGCCAAACTCTCTTCAGCTGTCTTCTTCCAGTACTGGACATTGGAGTCGGGGGAGTCATGGCTTGTTGCTTCTCAAGTAGGAATACAGCTCCCTAGCAGTGATGCCTCGCTTCTCTTCTGGCTGGGCTGCATCCTGGCCCTGTGCTGAGGAAACACTGGTATGCAAGTTGCCCTGGTCCAGCCTGAAGACTGCTGTCTCCCTTGAGTGATCATCAACCCATTCCTCACCAACCACAGTGGGCTGTATGTCTCCCTGCCCTTCTGTCACATTGTGCCTTGGGTGAGTGCTGCTCCACTCCTGCCTTCCTGACTCAGTGCTTGCCCCATTCTGGGCCTGTCCTCCTGGTACTGTCTCTCCTGCCTCAGGGTTGCTCACTTGTGTCCATTTTTGACCACTACCTGGCTGCGTCTGGGTCTGTCCCTGTTCTCCAGCCCCTCCGTGGCTTACAGTTTGGCTTCTATCCTGCTCCACAGTCTGGGTATGTGTCCCTGCCTGTGTCTGAGCATGTTCTCCTGTCACTGCCTGGCTGGTCTGGCTCCTGCCTTGACCGTGGATCTCAGTCCCTCTGTTCTGGTCATTGGTGGACCCCTGTGTCTGGGTGCTGGTGCTTTCTGTGTGGTGGCTGCTGTCCTGCTCCACGGTCTGGGTGGGTGTCTGGGTGTGTGTCCCTGCCTGTATCTGAGCATGTCCTGTCACAGCCTGGCTGGTCTGGCTCCTGCCTTGACCGTGGATCTCAGTCTCACTGTTCTGGCCATTGGTGGACCCCTGTGTCTGGGTGCTGGTGCTTCCTGTCTGGTGGCTGCTGTCCTGCTCCACAGTCTGGGTGGGCGTCTGGGTGTGTGATCCTGCCTGTGCCTGAGCATGTCCTCCTGTCATAGCCTGGCTGGTCTGGCTCCTGCCTTGACCATGGATCTCAGTTCCTCTGTTCTGGTCATTGGTGGCCTCCTGTGTCTGGGTGCTGGTTCTTCCTGTCTGGTGGCTGCTGTCCTGCTCCACAGTCTGGGTGGCACCTGCCTGGGTCTGAGTTCCAGATCCAGTCACAGTCTCACTGGTCTGGTGGGCTCTGTCCTGTTCCCTGGTCTGTGGCTGTCTCTCTGGCCTCATCTCTGTGGTCTGATGCCTCTTGCCTTCTCCAGCTCTCTGGGTCTGCTCTGTGTGCCCAGAGCGTTGTATCTGCGGACTTGTTCTCTCCTGGCTCTGGGACTCAGCTTGCCTGTCATAGCTGCTGACCCACGCAGAGCCAGTGGCCTGACCCTGGGTCTGAGCCCCAGGCCTGCTCTGCCCTCTGGAAGGCTGCTCGCTCTGTCCATGGCTGCTCCCCTCATAATGCTGCCCTTTCCCTGCCCTTCCCACTTCAGTGCCACTTCTCTGTCCTTCACTCAGCTCCTGCCAGGCCCCAGAATGGAGGCTTCCAGACTCTTGAGAGCTGCAGGCTCCCTCAGGACTCTCGCTCAGTGTCTTGAAACAGGCCTGGGCGACTTTAAACACCAAGACCAGGAATTCCTTGAATTCCACAGTCCCTGTGTGGTCTTCATCCAGCAGACGCAGGACCTCATCCACAGTGGCTGGATCGTGGGGTTTCTGAGGAGAAGATGAGGTGGAGTCAGCATCCCTCCCCTGAGGAGGACGTGGGCAGGCCCCTTCCACGCTGCTGCCAGCTTCCCCTGCCACAGACCTCACACTCCACACACGTACGGCTAGAGCAGCAGCAAGACTTAGTTGCCTTTATTTTTTATTTTTTTAGTCCTGTCTCTCTCCCTCAAGTGTAGGGAGCGTTTTTTGTTTTGTAGCCCCTATTTGGCACAATTTCTGCGCTGCAGGAAAATTAGATAAAGGTTTATTGAAGAGTTAATAAATTATTGAATTCACAGTGCCACTTTTTGGGCTCTCAGGTTGACTGTCTGAGCTGCCCCTGGCACTGAGGCCTTAGTCCCTTCAGCAGTCCCAGCACAAAGAGCAGCAGGTTGGGAACACAGCCCCATGGGAATTCTGTGCTCTCCTCATTGAGGCCCAGATGTTTTCCCACGATAAAGAGGGAGGGATGCAGTGGGCCTAAAGGGCTGCCCTGAGCATGTGGACGCAGCATACTTCTGTGCCCATACATCCTTGTCCCCAAGGCCATCATCATCCCAGTTGCTTTAGATGCAAACCAAAGACAGGAAAGTGCGTCAGGCCTTGATTCCGGTTTGTCAGGAGGGGTGGGGCCCCGAAGTCTCCCCCTAGCTTTTAACAACCTGCTCTTCAAAATTTCGTTTCTCATGTGATCAGTCTGCTAATATTTTTGAGTAACTGCTTTGTGCAAGCCCAGAGCTATGCTTCTAATGAATGCCTATGAATGGATGATTACATTTCAGATAGATGTGGGAAATATTTACGATATCAAATTTAAGAGGCAGCAGAAAGCAGCAATTATTTTCATTTTGAAATATTCCAAGGCTATGCTCCTCTCTGAGTTGTTCTTTTAGAGCCCCTTTACCTTGTCTTTAAGTTAGAGTTAATTAAAACCAAGGTTTTAATCTAAAGAGCCAGGACTTGCCAACTCCCATGACCATCTCTGGTTCTTTCACCTTTTATTCTGCCTGCACAGTTGCCATCTGTCCTGGCAGGCCTGGGTTTATGTGCTGCCTCCTCAAATTCCCCAGGCAAGGCCTCTGCAGGCAAACGAGGTTTCACTTTCCTGCTATGTCCCTTCTCCACCCAGTGCAGCACACCGTACCACAATCACATCGGCAAACTCTTGCTCCAAGAGTCTTTTCAGCTCCCCGCGGGTGAGCGCTGTGCAGCTGCCCTCCGTCCTTGCGTAGCGCCTGAAGGCCTCGATGATCCCATTAATGTTTCTCAGTAACTCAGGCATCTTTGAAGTCAACCTGGACAAGATGAAAAATCCCCCTGGAGGCTCCATAATCAACCTTAGCTGTTTCCTTTAGAGCACGTCTGCTGCTAGGTCTTTCCTTGCACGTTCAGCTCTGTTTTTGATCTTCCTTTGTCCTTTCCTACGTAATACATCTTATGTGTGGGAAGGAGGAGCACACAGGATGGAGGCAGGTTCCTGACTCAGGATTAAATGCTGGCCCCACCACCTACATATGGTGTGAGCTGGGACAAGTTGCTTTGCCTCTCAATGCCTCAGTTTACTCATTGTAAATGAAGGTGATATTAGTACTCTACGGGATTATTGTGAAGATTTAAAGACATAATTCATAAAAAGCATTTGGCAGACGCCTGGCTTATATTAAGTGCTCCTTATTAAATATAATTATTATGCTGTTATACACATATACACACATATAATTTTTGTACACTTATATAATCACTCTACTGCTCACAAGGCACTTGCCTGTGCATCATCTCCTCTAATCCTTATTATTTCCACTTTTTTTAATAGGTGAGGAAACAGGCTCAGAGAAGTTAGGCCACACAATTTTTAAGGAGCAAAGAAATCCTAGAATCCATCTCTCCTTAACCCAAATGCAATGGGCTTTCTAGAATGTACCCTGTGGACAGGATTTATTTGCTCATCACAAGGTGTTAGGGTCCCACTGGGAACACCAAGAGAGGAAGTAAATACACGTGTCAGTCAACCCCTGTCTTGGGTGGGAGCCAAGCAGGAATTCCAGGGACACAGCCCTCCTTTCTTGTTTTTTTTCTGGGAAAGTGGGAAGAAGCTGGGCTACCACCTGCTGGGAATGCTCAGGAGGGGGAACCTTCTTTGGGTGGGAGGCCTTCCAGTTCTGAAGGCCCAAGTTTCTCTGAATGTCACTTCTGTCCACAGCCTTGGGACTTATCAGAAAAGTCAGCTTGCTCAACAGGCATGTGGCTCCATTAGGTCCAGATTTCTGGTGACCTACGAGTTGCTTCTTAATCAAAGGGAAAGCTTTTCTTTTTCATTAGCCAGAAGTCTGGAGGTAGGCTGAGGTGGGGCCTGGGTTTGGCTGCATGAACAAGAGGAAAAGAAACTTGAACATTCATTAAGCAGAAGCCTTGGAGAGACCCAAAGGAGATGGTATCAAAGACGACAAGTCTCAAATGCAAGGAGAGATGCAGCCTACAGCAGCTGGAAACCCAAAGCGAGGATGGGATGAGGCAGATATAGGTAGGTGAAGAAAGAGAAAAAAGGAAGGAAGGAGACTTGAGTTCTAGAAAAAGCAGACCAGTGTGGCCATGAGGACTCAGTAGGTTACAGCAAAAAGTGGGTTGTTCAGGAGAAACCCTTTCTAGGATCTGATAACCAACAATTTCAGGCAAACTTTTCATCAAGGTAAAAAACTGGGAATATTTTTCCTCAACATAGATGAAAAATATCTTTCCTTTTTTATAACCATGTAGCCGACTTTAACCACTGAACTTTAGATAATAAAAATAGTAAGATGACCTTTTAGTTACATTTTAGATTCCTTAGAATAAATCTACAAATATTTTGCCTAAATATCACGCTGGTGTAGGAGAGGGGAATCATGTAAGCTCCTTCATTCATGACACAGTTTGATCTTATTGTTCTAGGTTGGTATAAGTAAACTGATTCTGATCCCACAGTCTCTCAGCACTGTAAAGAAGCTTCCAGAGCCTTAGAAACAAGAAACCTTTGCTGATCCAGGAAGGCCCATGGGTGGCCCCATAGCAGCTGCCCACACAGTTTCCCAGTGACAGGAGCCAGTGCCAGGCCAGCCTCAGGGAGGAAGAGAAAGTTGGATTGCTTTAGGAGAGCATGTTTCCCAACGTTAGCGTTGGTTTGCCCAATGCCCACAGCTAGATCTGAAGGATGTATAGCCCATACCTGACAGCCCCAGTTTTATGAGCTCAGATCCCCAAGACACTGAGAATGAGAAAGAGGTTTCTTATGAGAGGACTTACCTAATGCCCAGGTGGGATGAAACAAGTGGCTGTTAAGTAGTGTGAGGAGTACCAGGTCAGTGTGATGAGAACCCTTTATAGGGGTTTTAACCAAGGCTCTTGTTTTAGACAGGATATCCTGCCCTATGGGAAGGCTTGATTCATCCAAGATTCAGCCCAGCCCAGCCCCACCTCCTCTTGTCTCTGTTTTACCTGCTCATGTGTGACTGCCTTGGTCTAATTAGCAGGCCCCTCCTACCACATTTGGTGCCTTCTGTAGCTGAGTCCTCTTGACAGGGAAGGTTCTTTCCATTGTGATGGGCTCAGCAGTGCTTGGCACAGGCTGGGGTCCTGGTGAACATTCTTTGTCTCCATGAGCCTACAAAGTCATGGGACTCTTCCCCCCACCCCACTTTTTTTTTGTTTTTGAGATGGAGTCCTCTCACCCAGGTGGAGTGCAGTGGTGCGATCTCGGCTCACTGCAACCTCCACCTCCCAGGTTCAAGCAATTCTCTGCCTCAGCCTCCTGAGTAGCTGGAATTACAGGTGTGAGCCACCACGCCCAGCTCATTTTTGTATTTTTAGTAGAGACAGGGTTTCACCATGTTGACCAGGCTGGTCTCAAACTCCTGACCTTGTGATTCACCTGCCTCTGTCTCCAAAGTGCTGAGATTACAGGCGTGAGCCACTGTGCCCAGCCACTCTTTCCTTTTTTAATATAAATGTTCAAGAATATATCTATTGAGGTTAACTTTTACAAAGTAGCCACTTTGAGAGGCCACACATGTTTTTGTGGTAATGTTACTCAGAACTGCTATTACTTAGAACATTTTTTGAATTCTTGTTTTGCAAGTGCCGTTCATACCTAGTGTATGAGACACAAGAAAGCCAGTTTAATCTCTTTAAAGTTGGGTCTCATTTTTAAATTAAAACAAAAAAAGTTAATACCTTCCCCACCGCATGCTATGGGTAGGTAGCATTTTGTAGCTGGTGAGAAAAAAGGCTTACCATGATCACGTGCAAACTCCTCATTGCAAGGACAGGAAACTCAATGGGCGGCTAATCAGCAAATATTTGTGGAAAGCTTGCTTCATTTCAGGCAGAGGGCTAAGGCCCTAGAAATAGAGTGTTGAATACAATGTCAGCAGTTTCAACTCTCATGAAGTCTATAGCCTGGCCATCCCAGGGGAAAGTCCCCAAGAGGTTAATAATAATGGTAATTGCCATTTCATTTCCTTTGATTTTAGTTCATTTTCATTACCATCTCATCTGATTTGATCTCCCTAGTAATCCCCTGAGGTGGTATGGCTAAGCCCAATTCATAATGAGAACACTGAGAAATCCTCAGAGAAGTAGCCACTCAGGGAAGAAGAGACGGTGCTGGACTAGAGCCCCTCAGACTCCAGGCCCGTGTTCTCTGTTGCACCATGCTGCCGTTTATTCTTCTCTCATTGAGTTTTGGCACTTTATAAACATCACACGTATCCTCAATGCATGAAGAACCATTCCTGAGGAGGAAGTTTTCTGAGCTCTGAAGCCAAGTCCCAAAGAGGGCTCTTGAGTGGCACTTTGCAGATAATATATACTGTATAGCTTCCTGAGTGACTCTGGAAGGGAAAACCATCTTTACCATCCTCACTTATAGATCAGCATGCAGCAGACAGGAAAGGGACCAACAGGCTGGGAAGGCATGGTAAGGGCCTTGGTTGCAGAGACTCGTGTATTGAGGGCAGCCCCGTAGCAACAGCACAGCCTCCAGCACATCCCCTCAGGGCACAGAGCACTGGGGAGCTCCAGACTGCAGGAGGGCAGGATGCAGGCTTTGTGTTTGGAAAGATCTATCTACATGGGGACGGGTTGGCTCTAGTCCTGGGGTGAAGGTGGGATAGGCATGCTGGTCAGGGAAAAGCAGAGTAGGGGCCTCAACCTTTGGGAGCAAGATGGGGCTGAGGTTGCTTCTAGCTGATCGGAGTTAGAAGAGTTAGAAGAAGGCCAGTGTGAAAGGGTGAAGTTGGAGAACAAGAGGGAGAGCCGATTAGACCTTCTTCTGTGGGTGGTGGTTGAACTTTTTCTGAAGGGCTTAGAACTTCCAGAAACGTTTGGGAACTGAGCGAAAGTTAGGGAAGTAACAAGCCAGAGGCTGTATCTAGAAGATGAATGTGGGGTAGGTATTATTAACCCAATTTATAGATGAAGAAACCAAAGCACAGAGAATAAGTAAGTAAACTTAACTAAACTACCCAAGGTCACATATCTAGGAAGTTAGACCTGAATTTGAACTTAGGTCTGCCTGCCTCCAAAGCCTAATAGGTCTTTACATGTGCCTGGGGCAGGACTGAGCTATGGGGAGCTGGGGTACCATAGAAGTGGATGTTAAAGAACTGTATGTGTGTGTTGGGCCAGTGGTGGTGGGTTGAAGTGTGCAGGTGGGGCTGGGGGAGATGAGTTGGCAGAGCCGCGGGACTGAGCCTGTAATTGAGTGTGCAAGTTTCTTAGTTTGTAAAGTTTGTGAGGAGATGTTATAAGTTAGTGTGCAAGTTGTCAGAATAAAAAAGGAGTCATTTGTCTTCAAAGAAATCCTTGACAAATATAGAGCTAGGGAAGGCTGCGAAGAGAGAGTTCTCATGCTTGTACACCTGATAACAAAACTGTCACAAGAGACTGCAAAAACCACAACCTTGCACAAAGGCCATAATAGCCTTACACAACAAATGCTTCTGTGAGGACATCTGCCCAGCAACTCCCTGTCCAACGTCATACTAGCAACACCATTGTTATTGATCTTTGTAGCCAAGAATATGCATTTCAATACAATTATGTAATTTTCATCATTTTTCCTGTAAGAACTTTTGTTTTCCTTTACCTCCCTGAATATGCACGTAGTTTACTATGGCACATGTATTCCCATTGCAATGCCCTATTCTCAAATAAATAACTTTTTTTTTAAGAGAGCCTCTCTATGGTTATTACTTAAATTGACACTAGTGACTCTATTTAGTAGTTACATTTTACGGGTATGCTGGAGGACAGTGAGACCAGGTG